TGCCGCATTTTAAAGGACTAAATCAACCTCTCAGGCTTAAAGTTAATGCTGCTGCTAACTGAAGTGAAATTGGCAGAGTTGTTGTTGTTGTTGTTGTTATTCGAGTGCCAGTGCGAAGTGCCAGTGTATGAATGTTTGAATGCACTCAAACACTTTTACTGCTTGGACGAATTTCAATAACGCAGCCTAACCTGGCCCGGCCCTCGGGCAACTGCAAATGGGAACTGTCTAGCTGGTCTTTCAACGTCTGCTCCCGGCTACAGCTACGGTCAAATAGACAATTGATGCCGTGCATGGCTTGCCATTCATGTTAAACGCTAGCCAGTTGGCAAACGTGACTCTCCACACTTGGCCATGCACTCCGAGCTCGCAATGACACTGAATGCTTATTGGGTGTGCGCATGTGTGTGGGTTTGGGGTGGGCGTGCGTGATGATAAGTGCACACATTCAATTGGATATTCAAATTATTTGAAATCTCATTTGTCTGCGCGTGCAGGTGAAGCCAGCACGTCCACTCTGTGCACTTAAGGCCAATGATTTGCTTGAGTTATTTGACGCTTAAGTAAATTTAATAAAACCTATATATGTACGCCGCATATGGACATGCACGCCTCTCCTCGTCCTGCCACGCCACTGTCAAAGACAGACTACCATTTGGGTTTTCAATTAAATTTATGGCTGGCAAAAGCCATGAACGCCCCCTCGCACCATCGCACCACCGCACCACTTTAATGCCACACAACTCGTAACTGGTAACTCGTAGCTGGCAACTGGCAACTGGTAGCTGGCAACGGCAAAGTTCATTTCGGCGTAAGGGACGAAAATCGATTAGATTCAAATCTTTTAATAAGTTTCATTTCCGTTTTGTGCTCGCTTTCGTTCATGCGCTGTCTATGCCTGAGTTGGGCAGCAGGCCGACCCTTTCCTTGCCCCTGCCCCGATAAGTTCTTGCCACATGCAACAACCGCACCTATTTGCTTTGTGGCTTTAATTTTTGGTACAGTTTATTAGCCGTATTAGCTCGCGCTGTGGCAATTGCGGTTGAATTGTAGCCATAAACGCGGAGTACTCGCGAAGGAGCCGCCCATTGTCGACCGTCAAGTGGTTGCAGGCCAAATTAGGTCAACATAATAATGTGACTAACATCTAAACACGCACACACACACGCTGTCCGGACAAATGGGGAATCGATTTGCATGGACTGACAGATATTTGGTTGCCGCAATGCAAATATGATAATTATGATGTCGCTGCAAAGGTGTGCGGTTGCCAAACCGGCAACAGAAACAGATAATCAACACCAATAACGCACGTGCCACATCCTCCAGCCCCGCTCACCACACTTCACCAGTCGATGGAGTCGTACATATTTGATACGCCTGTCAGGCAGTAAAAGCCACATGCGGCGATTTTGAGCTGTTGCGTTCTACATGTGCTGTAATTGGCCGCAAACCGAGGCATGTGTGCAGTCAATCAAAGCCCCAAATATGCGCGTCTTTCTATACACTCATATGCTTATCTGTATTTGTGCATGTTTTCCTGGCGAGTCTGGGCTGAACGGACCACAATTAACTTGACAGCTTAGCACTAGAAGTCACCTTTCAGAATCAATTTACGCTTCCAAAACAAAAGGGATAATGATACACAGAGTTGAGCTTTACAAAACCCTGCCAAGCCATTAGAGCACGAGCACACCGATACGCTGACACGCTCGTTAATAGTGTGTGTGTGCATGTGCATGTGTGTGTGTGTTTGTGTGTGTGTGTGTGAATGCGGGTGTGAGCTCCAAGCAGACATTGATTGTGAGCACCGCTTTCAATGCTTTTTGGCTTGTCTTCCTGGTCTTCATGTTGCCGTGCGTCCCTTCTTTTATTTCAGGTGGCTTAATTGGCTGTGAGACGACAAAGCGACACACGCACACACACACACCCACAAACACCTACTGACTTACACACTCGCCCACATGTGTGCCCTTCCTTAGAGTTGAACTAAGCTTTACTTTCAAATCATTCACATACAATACATTTCGAAATCTTTTAATTTAAAGTTAGCTTTAAATCACCCAAAAAATAATATTATTATTAAATTCCCCTAGCCAAGGCTCTAGTTTTTATTTATTTTATAATTAGTACGGCCTTTCAATGGCAGCTGGACCGAAGCTCGCATCAGCTAAACAAATATTTCTTACTCTGTTACTCTTTATGATTTATTAGAATGAAGACAGAATCAGGCAAAAGCTGAGAATCAAATGCGTTTAGTGCGTTTTTACTTTTCTTTTTAATTTTTAAAATTTTGCTTCCATTCTCAATCATGAATGATGTGGCTCTGAAGTCGAGGCCAGACATCTGCCTAATTTTGATTCGTTTGTAGCTTTTCTCATGGTTCGCACTTCTGCTTTGTCGCTGCAAAAGCTTTTGCCACATTAACCGAAACAGTGACAATTCGTGAGGGGCCAGGACACACGATATGCCCCACCGTCCAGGACATTCAATGTGCTTAAAGGCAAGTCTCTCACCTGGCTTTAATTTTGCTTTTAGGATACAAAAGTACTTATAAATTATTATGTGTATTTGCCTAGCCAGCGGCTGTAGTACATTAAAGCTTATATATCTGTACCATATCTATGATATTTATATACAATATGTTTTTAAAACAATTACAGAGAATCGATATTCCTGGCGGGCAGACAGCAATGGACGTCAATGTAACCTCAATCCTAAACAATTAAATTTAGAGCACAACTCGCCGGTCTCCCCAGTCCCCGGACCGAGTAACCAAAACAATAACAATTATTCACAACGGATTAGAGCTGTTGCCAACACGTCGGCACTTGGCCAACATTTTTGTTGTTGCCGCTGCAAATTACAATTCCCAGTGACCAACTGCTGCTGCTGCTGCTGCTGCTGTTGGCCCAAACCGCAGCACAATCTGTTTGTTTAATTAAATTGCAAAAGGCGGGCAGAGCAAAAATTCCACGCCACGCTCTCTGCGTCAATGCGTTGAGTTATGGCTTAAGTCGGGCAACCCCCTCCTAGCCGTCCATATCAAACGCTAGTCAATTGTATTAATTGACTAAGAATTGTACTGAAGTCCAGTTAAGACATTATAGACAATTGGGGGGGTTGCCTCCTTGGCTGGCCAAATAGCAGCCATTTTGTCGGCACTTCGTTTTATATCCGGAGCGTTTTATTTTTATTTGCGCGCCTTTCGCCAACGTTTTATTTTCATTATTTACTTTTATTTCGCTTTCCTTTCAAATTACAACACAACACACACGTGCTAGCTGCCTCATAGTGCCAACATAATTGCAACGCCCGCCCTCCAGACAGCAATTGCCACGCACAACAACAATTGAAATTGAATCCGTTTTCAAATGCCAGTCGCAGGGATATGCCCAAAGCATTTGCAACTTTAATGCGTTCAAAATGTATCGAGCATCCGGAAATAACACATAAAAGTTTCCTCAAAGTTATCTAAATACAAGCAAAAGTCTGCTCATTTTATCTAACTATATTACCCTATGCCCATTCGCATTAGGATCAGCTTCTGTCATTGGCAAACTGAAGACCTATTGATGTGGGAAATTCCATTCGCAACAAAAACGCAAAAAACTATTACCTATTGTTCAAATTGAAATGTGAGCTATTTCACACTTTTCACAAAATTCACCTCTTCTTGGTGGAAACGAGTCGACATTTTTGGATGTTCAAGTTTTGAGATCAAGTATATGCACATTTTTCGCAAAATTAACCTCGGAGAAAAATGGATGTCAAAAGTTGTATATTCGAAGTGTCCAGTTTCGTTCGACCAGCATTCAACTTATTTACTTTATTATTTTGAGTAATTTCACTAGTTATGGAATAAGCTAATATAGCCGTAAGTTTATTATGGTGCAGGATAACTATATTTGAAAAACCTGTAATAGTATATTGTGTTATGTGAGAACTGTCTTATGTCATGCAGTTTCTAAGAAGAAAAAAAAGTAAGAAAAATAATACGTTTTTGCACCCTATTCTATACTTTTAATTAGCTTATGTAAAGTGATGATGATGATATGATGAATAGCTACATTTTAAGTTTCCGCTTTCACTTACGGCTAAAAGTATCTTGTGTTCTATGCGTTGAGCGCACATGACAGTTAAGGTTGTCTTAAAGCCAAGTCGCCTTAATTGCGTACTTGGAATCGTTTTGCGAACAATACTTGCTAATAGGAAGAACTGCATTGAAGAACTTAGCATTCGACCGATTGTTCCTGTGGCAGGTACATGATATACTGGTCGGCTTCAGCCAGTTCAGACATATGCACTGGCTGAAACAGAAAGAGGAAAGTATGCAAAGTTTCAAGACGATATTTATAAAATTGTGTTTTTCGGCTACTTTAGGCCTGTGGCGTGCACTTCAAAGATTCTTGTATACTGCAGAGCTTGAAAAATGAGCTTAAGCAGCAAAAATAAACTTTTGTTTATTTAAACTTTAACGGGTTGCATGCGGGTTGAAATATGCGAAAAATGTAAAACACGTATCAAATTAATTTTCACACAGATGTCTGAAAATATGTTGGAATCAGGTTCGTTAGGTTCGTTAGCGAAAGAGTTTCGTATAACATCTTAACTTTAAATCTTACCTTTTCTTTTCCATTACAGTGCAAATTTCAGCTTCGGCTTGGGATAAGCTGTTGATCAGCAAACAGTCAGTCAGTCCGTCATTCAGTCAGTCAGTCAAGACTTAGAGTCTTATCTATATAGATAGATCATTTGTCTAAGGGTTTGGAGTTGGAAGGCAAAGGTACTTATCATAAAGAAACACCACAGCGGGGTTAATTCCGGTATCAAAAGCAAATGAGAACTTCGCGCTGTCTCTGAAAGCTGCAACATTTCAAAGCTTGAACTGAGTTTGTTTGTTTAAATCTTAATAATAATTTTTAATAGAATACAACAACGGAAACAACTAAAACTATGTTAACTGACTAAGGGCAATCTATTTACAAAGGCCAAAGCTGCTACGCCGCAGGCAAATACTTGGCTCCGGAACCAGCTTCAACTGGGGCACGCTCCTCCGCGTCTGGCGCTGAGCTAAAGTCCAGTACAGGTGCCACGCCCTCATCGGAACTGTGCGAGCTGCCGCCGAGCGCATTGAACTGCTGCTGGATGAGCTGCTGGGCACGCACCGCCTCCTCGGGCGTGCGATACTTCACAAAGTGCACCTCCGGCTTGTGGGCGTGGCTCTGCTGCTCGGTTTGCAAACGCTGCGCCAGGTCAGCAAGATCCGCCTGCTTGGTCAGCACATAGATGGCCGTGCGCTGCTCGCTGGACTGTTTGGCCAGCTGCAGTGCAGCATTGGTGAGGCCCTGATGCTCGGGCGACTTGATGAACAGGACGCGCAGATTGCGCTTCAGCATGTTGGCTATCTGCTCGGTGGCCTCGCGATCAGCAAATTCCTCCTCGGGTGCCGAATATGTAAAAAACTCCTTGGTAAATTCATCGGAAACGGGCTGCAGTTGCTCCTGCTGCTGCTGTTGCTGCTGCTGCTGATGCTGCTGCTGCTTTTGCTGTTGTGCATCCGTTGCACTAAATCCCGTGGCCTCCGTATCGATAAGTCCGGCAAAGCGCCTGTCATCGACAGCTGCCCGATAATTGTAGCCCAATTTCGAGGCGCCTGCCATAGCAATGAGGCAGAGTAGCTGCCGCAAAAACAGGTTTGGTTCAGTTTGTGCTCCATTTTGAGGGCTTTCAATTTCTCAAATACTTACCAAAAATCCACGCATCATGAGCTTAAGTATGACCGTTGTTGCGGATCTGTTGCGTGCCACTAAACGTTGCAAACTGGCGTTCAGCGTGGAGGGCACGCTGATTTTTATATGCGCTTTAAATTCCCGCAAAGCGAAAATAGTGAAAATTCGAAATTGTAACTAAAATGATAAATGATGCGAACGCTTACAAGATGCCAGCGATTTGTGGCTCAGGTTTCAGTTTCAGTTTCATTTTTGATTTCGTGCTCGCTTTCGGCTGTTGCAATCGGTGCCACGAGCAACCAGGCAACCAGGCAACCAAGCAACAACAAACAACCGACAACCAAAAACAAACAACCGACAGCGACAACAAACAACCAAAAACAGTTAATCAAAAATAAATGAGCATTTAAGCGTTAACACTGCGCCCCAGGGCTGCCCCCAATGGGGCGTTGGTTCGCTCGGGCACTCCGTTACATAAACTCCAAGCCCGGCGAACTACTCGTGTTTCGGAGCGGCAAAACTACAAAGGGACAAAGCGAGTGCCACCAAAAACTATGCGGAAATATGCATAATTAATTAATTAGTCAACTGGCTTCAGCAGCAGCAGCAGCAGCAGCAGCTGACGGTAAAATCAGTTTGATTTTGATTTTGATTTTGATTTTGACTTGGACTTTGATTTGAACTTTGATTATAATTTTGCATTTCTTGCGAATGTTTGTTTTTTGTATATCCAAACATCTTCTTAAGATTGGGGGGAATTTTGTGACCCTTTTCGCAACTTCTCAGAACTCTCTGAATGCTTTTGCTGAACTGACTAAAATCTTTCCAGCTAGAGTCTAGCTCTAACATAAACTCTTTAGCAAACTACGTTAAATGGAAGACGAATTCTTGTTTCCGTTCTTGGATCATCTACAGCTGATCTTCAGCTGGTGCTAGTAGGTAAGGACATATAAAGTAAAAAGATAATAATATTACTATATTAAGTTAAAATGTATTAAACCTACGGGGTAGGTTGTCCGGCCTTGCCCGTGACAAGTCATAAGCATCAATATTTTAGATACTTCTGTTTCACCCGGTTCCCGCGCGCTCAAAATGTTCATCTATTATCTTCAAGTCCATGTCTATTTGAAAACATATTTATAATCCATCAAATAAAGAAGCAAATTTTTGCAATCAACTCCGTCCATGTTGGTCTTGTGGTTAGAACAAAAAATAAACTTTTGTTCGTCAAGAGCAAAGTAATAAATAAATCAATTTTAAAGCGTCGCATTTATCATCCATGAGTTTTGTGAAAAGTGCGAAGCACGACCCAAATTAATTTTCACAAAGACCTTTGAAAAGGAGGTTGAGGCAGATCGGATGGCAAAGCAATAAGTTGCATACAAGCGTTTTTCGCGATTTTTTCACACTTGCTCCATCATATAAGCTAACTACGGTGAAAATTGCAGCTTCGTACATTTGGGTCCTAACCTTTAGGTAGGAAGAAAAAAGGGGTTAAGCTTAACAGCTAAAAAGGTCATGGTTTACAGATGCAAATGCTTTAGTAAAGTCGATGTGAATAACATCGGCTTGCATTTGCGATAAAAAAGCATATTTTACCAAAGTGAAAAATGCAAATAAGTTAGTCCCGTAAGTGACCGTAAGATCTCGCTCCTTGCAAAGGGAACACAGCGCTCTGTTTATAAGATTTCGATAATAAACATTTTTGTCGTAGAGTCCGTTTTAATCTCAATGTGGCTTTTAGAAGTAGCGTGGCCCAAACGAGGGCTCACACCCACATCAGAAATTCCGGTAACAGAAGGTTCGCTTCGATAACTATATGGCCAATGCTAATTTATTACTATTCAGAGAGACACCTCTCCAAATAACGGCATCTCCTTGTCACATTAGTCGCCACACACAACAGGCTATGACTACCTCCGGTGGTATATTAACCCACACACGCACACACACACACCTAGTCGTCGTGTGGTGTAGTATACTATCCCAGTTACTCATAGCTTGTGGTGTGAGAAGACTTGTGTGTGCGTGAGTGTGTGTGTGTGAAGTAACGACAAGTCCTGCAGCTACTTATCTAAGCTATATTAAATATTAAACTCAAAGTGCCAAGCCGCACAATTGAGCTACGCTCTGGCCATGGTCAAGAGCTAAGCAACTGGCTGAGAACAACAAATTGACACATTGTCTTGGCAACATATGCGTTTAAATTAGGCATAAATAGCTCCTTGGAGACATGCAGTACACAAACACTATTGCATAAATATTTAACAAGAAGCATGAGGGAGAAACGACAACAGCAACTACTATGGTCGGCTGCTTTGTATAGTTTCCAGAGATTGCTAGGTAATTGTCTTGATTGCTGCACATAAATCTGATTACGTCTACATGTGTCCAAGTGTTGTTTGTTTGTGTGTCTCTGTGTGCGTGTGTGTGTGTGTGTCAGTGTGTTGGGCATAGAGAAAACGCTCTAATTGATAATGGTTGAGGCCATGCGCAAATGGCCACTTAGCTGTCAATTGAAATTCATCATAAACAGGCCCATTCGATGGATGTTGCTAGCCAGATTTATAGACGAACACAGGCTAGCAAGGCTCTCAGCAACAGGCTTGAATCAATTTGACCAGGTCTACTTAACAATGCCCATTTATGCACATAACGAGGCGTCATACATCAGCAGAGAGAGAGCAGCCAACTTTTGCTTTGGCAACTGTTCATTGGCCACTGGGGCAGCATTTATATTTTGATAAAAGCGTACAATTTGTTTAAATATAATAAAACTCTGTTGGAGTCTCGAGGCGCAACGACATTTAATTTAATCACTTTTGCCGCTAGCCAACAAATGGTAATAGAACCAAAAAAACAAAACAAATAGAAATTTATTTAGGCGCTGTCGACTTAGATACGAAGTTAGATACAAACCCGAAATGAGGGCCGCAAAGTTTTGCCGCAACACAGTTACCGGGGCAGCTGTCATAGTATTGATATGGTGGCCCGGCAAAGTTAAATAACATGGCCTAGGGTCAGGTTGCCAGGTGCTTGTTTTTGCTGTTTTTGCCGCTTATTTATCTTGAGACCAAACGCAAACAGAACTAAGCTGAAACAATAGCAAACAGGAGCAACAACAGTCAAAAAACCGATACGATAAATTGAATGTTATACGATTTTCTTCTACGGTTTCGGTCAGATTTCGTTAACCGTGCAAATTTTTGGTGGCCATCTATACGAGCCAAAGTGGACTGGGTAATTGATATCGGCGTGTGCGCAGCTAATTAAAATTTTTCAAAGCCAGCGCGTGCCTTATTTTCTACTAGCCCATAAATCATGACATCAACAGCCGCAATAGATACAAGACACACACACACACACACACGCACACCCAAACATATGTCATAGACAAACAGCTAATAATGGCAATTACTGGGTCAGAAAACACAAACAATTATGGGCATTAGGCGTAAGCTGTGTGGGCCAAAGGTCAGCAGACAAATGCAATTGCGCCATAATTACTCGCACGCATTAGCAAGGGGGCCAAAACGCCGGCAAATGGCCAAAATGCCAGCTGTAATTGAACACTGGCCACAAATTGTTTTCGAGCTGGGCTGCCGTAGCAGCAAACATGGCTCTTATCGCTGCTCAATTAAACTGCAATTATCAACAAATTAAACAAACAAATGTTCGGCGGTTGACATTTCTGTGTGTGTGTGTGTGTGTGTGTGTGTGAGTGTGTGTGTCTGGCGCAGGTTAAAGTGCGCTGCTAGCCCAATTTTCGGCTATGGCGAAAACTGACCAAAACGGAGCATTAATATTAATGAGCGCCACGCTGAGGCGACGCGACGCGACGCGACGACTGCGACACACGCGACCCCGGGCAGTTCATTAAAGTGTCAAATACTTGGGCTTACACAAATAAGCCCCCCCCCCCCTGCCCTAGCCGTCAAATGAGCGTTAAAACACAAATTTATTTAAAAACTAACAACAATTAAAAAAACGAAGAGCAGCGCATAAGGCAAACATGACAAGAAACCTGTTGCTGACGCCCCAACTGACACAGGCCAGCCAAGTTGGCTGTCATTATAAACGTGTCATAAATCAAAAACTTGTTACTTGTTACTTGTGGCCAACCTATTTGCAAACTAAAGTCCCATAACTGTATTTCAGGTTCTTTCACATACATTTTCGCCCTTAAAGTTGCGCATACGCCGCGTGCATCAGACTCGACCAACTTTGATTGATGGCAACTGCAGTTGCTTGGCCAACTTTGCTTGGCCCTGTTGCACAATTTAAGGCCCAAATATCAGACTTTAATATGTGCGAGCTGGCAGCGTGGAGCGGCAAATGATATGCAAAAATTGACAAGCCAAGTAAATGAGTGGCAAAATCATTTTGTTTTCTAATTTGGCAGTTTGAAGCAGGCGGCCCCAAACAGTGCTGCCAGCCTCAGGCTGCATTGGCAGACCAACGTCATCGACACTGTCGTCACTGTCATGAGCCTGGGCCAATGGGCCCAAAAAAGCCCACACCAAGCCCCAAGACGCTGCTGCTGCCTGTCTGTCTTGAACGCTAAAAACAATTAGTATGACAATTTATCATATGCCCGCAGGCAAATGATTTATGAACGCAGAGCCTGCCATATACTCAATACAACAACAGCAGCAGCAACAACAACAACAGCAACAAACACCAGCAACAACAACAACAACAACAACAACAAGAAGCCGCCCGACCCATTTTGGACGCTTTTGCGTAGGCCGCATTTTTATTTGTTTTTGCGGGCGCGTCCGATATTTGTTCGCTTCCTTCCTTTCTACGAGCTGTTCGGCGTCTTTTGCGTTACGCAATTTATAGTTAATAAACATTTCCTGCAACGAAAACTTTGGCACGCCCACTTACGCCTCCAATAAGAGTATATCACATTATAAGCTAAGTTGTAAGCTTAGACACAGATTTTGAATTTAATTCACATTAAATTTAGCTCCGATATCAAAGTGCTGCAAATTAGAATGCTTTTTAAATGTAAAGTTATTCAATCCTTT